TAGCAGGTGATGGAATTGATCAAGGAGAAACAATTTCTTCACTATTATGAAGAATCTTTTATGACCCTCTATTATGTGAAATCCAAGAAAATCTGGCTCTAGAATATAATATGAGCTGCATGTGGTTAACAGACTTCAGTAAACCAGTCCGAAATGAAATAAACACACAAACACTCTCCATTAGATAGGCAGCCATAGCTTACATGGATGACACAACATGGATTGCCCAATCTAAACAAGACATGGAACATATCCTAGACAGGGCAAACCAATTCTATGCAGCTAATGATTCCCAGATTAATAGTAAGAAATTAGTACTAATAACAATCAATAGCAAAAGTAAAGAACCAAACAAAGTACTTATGGGAATCAACAAAGAAGAAGTCACCGAACTGGATCGAAAACATCATTCTCACTTCTTAGGAATCTGGATTGGAAGCAAATATCATACAAAAGATACAATACATAAAATTCAACAAGAAATACAATCGATAATAACCATTCTCAAAAAGAAAAAAATTACAATAGATACATGGAATACATATGAAACAGAGTTCTAATTCCATATATTGAATATAGAGCACAACACTGTATACTGAACCCCAATATTGCTTATATCCTATCTGCCCAACTATGAACAATCTTAAAACACACAGCCAATATATCCAAAACAATATCCAATTCAACTATTCACCACAAATCACTATATAGATTAAAAGGTATCAGTGAAATACAGCTAGAGAATCATGTTTCCAACTTCATCAATCTGCTTAATGGCTATAGACATCCTAGTATCTCAATAATCATACACCTAAAACAAGTCCAAATTCAATAATGGGAACCAACCAATATACTTGCAGAATCAACAATACAGAAGCAAGCAAAAAACAACTTATTAGCAATGATATTAAATGCAACAAACAGTATAGAAATAACATATCTTGATTCATATTGGAAAGACAAATTTCAATGGAAAGAAGGAGTCCATCCAATAAAAACATTGCTGAATGACCAATCAATATACAAATGTACAGTCCAATCTATGAGAAAACACAATATAATGTTTGTCGATCAACTTGTAAAAGCAGAAACTAACACTCTCCTAGACTGGAAACTCATACAATCTTTACACAGTCATAATAGAGGACCCAAATCTTATTGATACAAGAAAGTTCAAATACTTATCACCAACGAGTATGGAGTTTTAAACAAGAGTAGCAAAACAAAAAATGGACAAATCAAGATAGAGACATTTTCACCCACTCATCTTAACAAGATGTAAGAAAATGGGAATGGCAAGTATAACTAAAAGAAACAAATGAACTTATCTGATACAAACGCAAGGGGATTGCAAATTCTATAGGACAAGAAAAGAAAATGTATCAAGTGAGCAATACAAGTACCAGTTCAACAAAGCTTATTCAAGCAATCTCAAGTTCAACAGGCATATTCAGAAAAGGACCATCACTATTATTTAACTGGATTAACAAGATCTCCAAACTGAGGAAAAGTAAAGAACCATATATTCCCATAGAAACTCATGTACTGGAAAGCCTAGCCAGATCAAACTTCCCGCTTAGAACAGATCCAGCTTCCAGCACATTCAAACTCATTGGTATTGAAATAATAGACTACGGTACCCAACTCATACAAGAAAATATCAAAACCCCAGAACTCAGTCAAGAACTAAGCATAGAATACAAGCTCAACAAGAATAGTCAGTATCAAGGAATATATCAATTCTACACTGATGGATCAGTAGGCAAAACCTGAGATCTAATGATAAAGATGGGTGCAGCTTGACTTCAAACCAAGGGACCCTATCTAGGAAGAACCTTTCAAACTGGGATAGACAATTGATCATCACCAGCAAAAGCAAAACTCACAACAATCTTCTTGGCAATTCTCGTAGTACCAAACAGAAGCAAAATGGAAATCCAAACAGATAGTGCCAATTGCATTAACACATATCAACAGCTAAACAACTCCCACCCAAAAAAACACCATCAGAAGAAAGATGAAATTCCCAATTGGCAACCCTGGATACGAATATTAAACACAATTTCTAAAAAAGAAATCCAAGTAACACTAGTTAAAGTCAAAGCATATGATCAAGACATAGCCAACAATCAAGTTGACCAACTGGCTAAGGCAGCTAAAGAAGAGCAAACAATCATTTGGAAAGAATTACACAAATCGCTTCCAATCTCGACTCCCTTCTGAAACAATATTCCAATAGATACATTGATAAGATCGTTCATTAAAGATTTACATGAGAGGAAAATACTGATACAATGAACTAATCAAAATAAAATCCAAGCCAGATGGAAGGAGGAAATTCAAAATCCAGAAGAAACCAAATAAAAAGAATTCTAGAAAAACTGCAAAGGGAAAGATACTCTTCACACCTTATTCAAGCAAATGAAAGACAGGACGTTCAAGATCAAACTTATTCACAATGAACTTCTTATACTAGACAACATATCCAAACACAAAGAAACAAGCTACAATGGACATACAAGATGCGTATTTTGCAAAGTAAAAGAAAAAACACTAGATCATTTGTTAACATGCAAAAAAACCAGGACTCACAGAGAAGAAATGTGGATGCTCTTATAAGAAAAAATTATTAAAACATGAATTTCCAAGTACTCAACTGCAGACATGTTAAAATAGGAAAAATCATCCAACTATTAGAACAATAGAAAAGAAGAAGTGTAGAATTTGCTAAAGAAATAATCAATTTGAGTATTTAATTATGGAAAAAGAAAGATATTTCAGATTGGAAAACACATTTTCAGACTGTAAAGATTTTCCACACTAAGACACGTAACCTGCTAAGCAAGACATCCAAGACATGGTGCAAGCTCCTTAGGCAACATATATGGAATCCAAGATGTGAAAAAGTACAGGAATATAAACAGTCTCTGAAACTCAAAACAGGAAAAGGAAAAGAGAAAGAGTTAGAGTTAGCAATACTTTCAAAATAGCAAAAACCTATAAGCCCTTATCAAAGAAATGAAGGAAGTAGTTTTATACATATGGCATAAATTATTTTGCTGTTGACTCAATTCCCAAAATCCTCAAAAATAATTGTGTCATAACTCAATTAATTGCGTCAAATAATTGTGTCAATTGTGTCAAAGATCTACAAATTTCAGCAACATGTATAAGTAATCCACAAGAGAATGAAAAGAATCCACCCAAGAACTACTCCCTAGCATTATCAAGCTTCAGCAAAAAAGAAACCAACCAAGTAAGCTCTCCAGATGATGGAATAGAAAAAGAAAGACTAACTGAGAAACTTAAAGAAATCCTGTGGAACAAAATCAAGGAAGGAAAAAGATGGTTAGGAATATAAAACGTAATCAAGATTTTGAAAAGACAAACTGTAGTGATGAACTGCAGACAATGATTTCAAACATACTTCAAAACAAGTATATGAGAATGAGCAACTTTATTTATTTTCAAGATCATATTTAGAGATAACTTTATATAAGACGGGTATTCAAGTATTGTATGTAAAAAATTTGTGCATAAAAGTTGTTAAACCAATATGTATTCTTCATTAAGATTAAATAAACTCTCAAAATACTTGTTTGATTACGGAAAAAAAAAATTAATATCAAATTGCTTATTAAAACAGTAGTTATAAAAATCATATGGATGTCAAAATTTTAACAAAAAAATTAAAAAATTTTCGTTCAGAAAAAAATCATTAAATGTAATAATAAAAGTTTATTTAAATTTAATAAAAATTTAGCCATATATAGAATTCATTATGAGGAACAAGTTTACTTAATATATAAAGGTTGTTTTATTAATAAAATAAAAAGTTTAATATATGACAACTATTTTCATTTAATTATAATAATTCTTAAATGGTCCTTCATTTATTGGAAGGGACTGTATATAAACTTTATAAAAAAGTAAAGTAAAAAAAAAAAGTAAAAATCAAATATATATTATAAAAAAATAAATAAATAAATAAAATAGATATATATATAATTAAAAAATTTTTCAAAAAAAAAATTATGAAATATAAAAGAAAAGTAAAAAAAGAGTTTTTTTATTATATTTATTTATTTATATTATTAAAAATATAATCTATAAATCTATTATTATATTATAATTGTTAATTATATAATATTATAAAAAATAATATAAAAAAATTTTTAAAAAAATTTATAAATTAATAAATTGTTTATTTATTAAATAGAATTAAAAATTTTAGTTTTTAATAAAATTATAATTTGCAAATAATTTTAATAATTATATATTATAAATTTAAATTGTCTTATTATTTTTTAAAAATAAAAAACAAAATAATATTTTTTATAAAATTTTTAAAGTTAAAATATAAAAATAACATAATAAAAAACTAGTGATGCATAAGGTGTAAAAAAATTTTAATAAAAAATATTTAATAAATTTTTACTTTTTAAAAATTTTAAAATATAATAGTAATGACAATCAATATTATAAAAAAATAAATCCAATAAATTATATAAATAGTATTATTTTATAACAAATTATTTATAAATTATAAAAAAAAAATTTCGAAAGAATAAAAATAATTAAATTATTAATGTTTATAATATTATAATGTATATATTTAATTATATATGTATATATTTATATTAATATTTGTATCAAATAATGAAATCGAATTTCTAAAATAAAAGTGAAACTTAATAAAAAAAATTTTAAAATAAAAAATCTCTTGATATAAGAGATTTTTTATACTGCATTTTATTTGACATGCTTTATAAAAGAATTTCTTTTATAAAAATAATTATAATTAAAATCAATGTTTTCTTTATAAAGTTTCACTTGTTATTTTTATAAGCGATCAATAAAATATTTTTTTTAAATTTAAATAATTTTTATAATACTTAATAATAAGTTTAAAAGTCATTAAGGTCATTACACATGTTTCTATTTAATGAAGTCATTAAATACAACATGCGATAATCATTACATAATTATATATAGGTATGTTACTTCGTGGTGTCTTTAATCCAATCTAAATAACTCTTACTTCCACTGTCAATCTGCTCAATAAATACGTGTTATTAAAGCATTTTCAAAGAAAAAATTTTGAAATGTATTTATTTACCTTGATTGCGATAACTTCGGGCACCTCGTACCCGTGATTCTTTATGACATATTCAGTAACTTCTTGGACATGTTTCTCTTCTGTTTTAATCAAAAGCATTTGTTCCGTTGTCTCTTCAATCTTATTATCCCACCCTGCCAAAATAAAATCCTAAGTAATTTCAGAAGAGAATCTCGTCATATTTCGGAAACTTACAGTAAAGTGAGGTTATACCGTGAACGATGTTCACGCATGCCGCCAGTTTTCCTTCAACTAAGCCTTTTATCATGCAAGAAATCAGTCCAGATCGGGAAAAAAGGAACTTATAAACGAAACCTTTTACAGACCTCTCGATAATTTTTTTGCCACCGTATTATTCGGGCAAGTAACAAAAACGACACGTGCCGATACTGAGTTTTCTTGGAACATTCTTGAAGAAATTCCAGAATAATTCGTAGAAAATAATTGAGGTGTTATTTGAGTCAAAAGTAAGGAACAGGTAATAACTTTAGCAGTAGAGCTAAAAGATAAAAAGTTTCTTATGCGAAATCTGTTCGCAAGCATTTTTTTGAATTCGTTTAGACCATCTTATGATATTTGTGTTGTGTCACTATCAACGAAATCTGGTTCCATTAAGAAAGATTGTCATATTGTCAAATCTATTGTATTGTTAAAGAAAAATGCAGAGGATCACTTTATTGTTTTACATTAAAGGCATGAAAGTCGTGAAACGCTATGAAACGTATGTACCCCGTATTAGGTATCACCTAGCATAAACGCACTTTCATGAAATATCGATGCATTGTAATCAACTATTAATTAACACTGGTCTATTGGACTGCAACGACGTAAATGACGACCACTCAGTTATCGAAACGGTGTCCCAGTTGTCAAAGGAAATATATAGAAGAAAAAGGACCTTGGTGCAAACAATGTGATCTCCCAAAAGGATGGACAAGTGGTAACGACGAAATTGATGATTTTATCAAAACAACGCAAAATAAGTTGGGAGATTTTTACGAAGATTGTTTTTTGGAATGGATTCCTTTCGACCGCCTCCGTAATCTATACAAAATTGGGAAAGGCGGGTATGGGACCGTCTATTGTGCAGACTGGATTGATGGAAAAAGGTGTTGGGATCCGTCTACTGTTCCACAAACAAGGACTAGACAGCCCTGTAAGGTGGCATTGAAGAGTTTAAACGACGGAGAAAATTATCGACTTTTTCTAGAGGAAGTAAGAAATAAATTATAATTTATTAATGGTTTCCTAATCACCTTTTTAAAACGAGACCGTCCTTTAATTACAAGGTTCGTTCCCATTACGACGCGCATAACAGTTCTATTTATGAAAATCCTTTTCCTATGTATGGTATCTCTAGAGACCCAAGTACACAAGAATATTTGATAGTTATGCCGTTTGTAGAAAATGGTAACTTGCGTACGTACATAAAAAATAATTTTCGCTTATTAGATTGGAAATTTAAACTCTACATGCTCTATACCATCGCAATTCGACTTGATCGTATTCATAATATGGAAATGATTCATCGAGATTTGCATGGTGGAAATATACTTGTGATAATTGGAGAAGATGGTTTCGGAAGAGGCGAAATAACAGATTTCGGACTGTGCTTACCCGAGAGAAACGTTGGAAATGGTGAAGTCTATGGTGTCTTACCCTACGTTGCCCCAGAAGTATTAATAGGGAAGGTGTACAGTCAAGCAGCTGATGTATATGCTTTCGGTATTATTATGTGTGAGATGACCACCGGAGAACCAGCATTCTGTGATCGTGCACATGACGCGGATTTAGCTCGCGAGATCCTAGACGGATTACGACCCAAGATTCTTGAAGGCACCCCTCTGGAATATGTGAAGTTGGCGAAACGTTGCCTTGATATTGATCCAGAAAAACGCCCTCTTATATGGGAGATTCGCAATTTTTTTACTAATCGCCGTACCGCCCCTCCGCAGGAATATCGAGAAGCGGATAAACTCATAAAGAATTCATCTCCACGCCCGACTCGTTATCCTGATGAGATCTACACTAGTCGACGTTTAGATCTTACAACTTTAAACCAATCCGATATGCTCTCGATTCAAGGTGAAAGTACATCCGGCAAGAAACCTATCTTTTTTTCGGATTCTGGTCAAATAAATTTGGAGATTCCAGATCTCCTTGACTCTTAGATCTCGGCCGCTGTTACATAACGTTATGGAAATATAAATCAACTCCTAGATTTTGTAATTTCATATTTCTTGTCAAAATAATAATCGATGGTAATATCAAGCCCTATTTTATATCTTTCTCAGAAAACCTTTTTATTTAAAGCAAAATGTATATATTAAAGCAAACGCACAAATTGTTTAGGTATAAAAATTTAAATTAATTTATAAGATATATACGTAATTATTATATTTTTCCAGTTATTTTGATTAATAAAAAAAATTAAACATTTCTTATCAACTGGTCGTTGGATTATATTGTTTGTTATTAGATTTATTCAAGTTGATTAAGATATAGTGGGGACAAAAAAACCACCTAAAATTAAAATTTATTTTTATTAATAATTTAATAATTAATCAATTAATTAAAGATATTATATATATTATATATATTTATTTAAAGATATAAAGAATAAAAAAATTTTTTTAAATATATTAAAATAATATTATTAAATTTATTAAAAGAAATAACAATTAAAATTTTTAATTTTTTTATCAATTACAAAATAATAATAATAATTAATTATTGAAATTATTTCAATATATAAATTAATCAACAATATATTAATAAAATTTTGAAAAAAAATTTTTTTAATTTAATATTAAGTTATTTACTTTTTGATAAAACTCAATAAAAAAATTTTTAATAATAAACAGATGTTTTTATTATATTATAAAAAAACATTATTATTTTATTAATAATTTTATAAAAAATTATTAGTTAAAGTTAATATATATAAAAAAAAAACTTTTTCCTACTCCCCTTTCTACATTTGAAAATTTCCTTTTTAGGAAATTTTTGAGTTGTTTACTCTTTCTTTGTCTTCTCCTTTTCCTTTTCTTTATGCCCCCTTCCCATATCTCCTTATTTTCCTTCCTCTATTCTTTTCCTTCTCTTCTATATACTTTTTTTTTTTACTTTTACTCTTCCTTTCCTTTTTACTCTTTTCTTCCTACCAAAGTTAGATTTTTCCTTTTCCCTAAAGGTTTTCCTTCCTAAGTCTCTCTCTTCTTTGAAAACTCTGTTTCCATAACATTACTCCTCTGGTCAGTTGATTCCCTTTTCTCAAAGACTATATCAAGAAGCGGTTATCTTTCTTAGAATGTGAGCCTTAGAAATTTTTCTCTCTTCCATGGCTTCTCAGAAAAAGAATGGACAGCTCACCCCCTTCAAAAAATCAACATAATCATCATTACCAAACCCGACATTGTTTACCAATCAGTGGTTAGATTAGATACATCCAAGAAACCTCTATACAACTATTATTATCTGAAAGTACCTAAGGAGTTGTGCTCCACAGTATTCAGAGTAAAATAGCAGCCAATGCCAATGTAACTAGCATTAAGTTAGGTTAGTTACAGGTATCATGCTGGTGATTGGGGAACTTAGTAGAGTAATACGTGATGATCAGGGATTCTAGTTACCTCTGCAACACAAGCTGGTGACAACAACGAAGTTTCTTACTCACCCCTCTGACAAATTAAATCTATTGTATAAGATTAAGTTCTGGCGTCATTAAGAAAACCAACAAAAACTTTATCCATAAGACACTTTTGCCACACTTGAAGCATAGGTGTGTCAAATTCTTTTTGTAACTTGGAGACAAACTTGTATAAAGTGGCTATAGTTAAAGATGGGTCCTTAAATTAAAGGCGAGGACATAATTCAAATGTCCCTCACTATTAAAAAAATTTTTTTTTAAATATAAGGTCAAAAAAAAACTACCTACAAAGGTTTTTTACAATTTAGGCCACTTGATCCAAGTGTTTTTTGAATTATGTTCCTATTAAAATAATGAATAAATAATTATGTCCCTTCAAAAGAGACATAATTGATCTGCAAAATTTTATATGCTAAATAGTTTAGGAACCCATCCTTAGCTATAGTACCTTTATGTAAAAAGGTACTTATTTTCTATTATCTCCAACACTACTCTGCTTACCATATATCAAGTCTTATTTGAAAAGCAGACATATTAATCCTAATCATAACTTGAAGGCCAACCTGTATATATTGACTGCAGCATTTTCATGTGATTAGGTATTTATTTAATTTCAAGTAGCTGGATGCCATTTATAACAAAATATAGATTTTTGAATTTTTTTTTTTTTGTATTTTTTGAATAGTGCTAAAAGAGCATAGGGGTTGGGTCCCATATGGAAGTCTTGTATTAAACTCTTTCTAACAAAGAAAGGCATATGTCATGCTATTGATTATTGTACCTTATGTTATAAGTGAAAATATAATAAATATAATAAAGTATAATAGCCATTTGCTCTTTTCAAAAAAAAAAAAGTTAATATATATATTGTATATATAGTATTAAAAATATATAAAAATTTTTTATCAAATTTAAAATATAAAAAATAATATTTTTAATTATAAAAAAATTTATAAAATTATTAATTAATTATTTAAAAAAACTATTGAATATTTAATTATTTTTTTAATAAAATATTATTTATTGAATTAATATAGCTTAATATTAAACTAAAAAAATTTTTTAAAAAAAATGTTTTATTAATATAAAAATTATAAAAAATATATTTTAAAGTTTATTAATATATAATTAATTTATATATTGAAATAATTTAAATAATTTATTGTTATTATTTTTTTGTAAATAATAAAAAAATTAAAAAAATTAATTTATTGTTTTTTTTTAATTAAAATTATATAATATTATTTAAAAAATATATATATATATATTTATTTAACATTAATTCAAAAAAAACTCTTTCCCGTACACAACATTTTTCTTAAAAATTTCCTTTTATAGTAATTTTTTCAAAATTAAAGAAAT